GCGCTACCACGCCCGGCTGATTTTTTGATTTATTGTAGAGATGAGGTCTCGCTGCCCAGGCAGGTCTCGAACCCGCGGGCTCAGGCAATCCACTCACCTCAGCCTCCCAAAGGCGCGGGATTACAGGCTGAGCCACCGAGCCCGGCTTTGTTTCCCATTTTCTTTCTCTGTTTAGTAACATATATAATAATTTTTATTGCAGTAGAATTATAAAATAGTATACATGTGGAAACCTTAGCTATTTTAAGATACTGAAATCATTCCAAAACTTATCCAGAAAAGGAGAGGGCAGGTTGTACTAATTTTCAACTTAGCACAAATGTTGCAGTATGAAAAACTAATGAGTCTAAAAGTAAGATTTTAGTAGAACTAAGTTAATTGAAAAGCAAGAGGATAAACTGGTTTATTGGTCTGGTAGGGAAGTAAAATATATAGAAAAATCAAATTTATCAGTCAGAGTGAATTGAGTTTTGATGTGAAGTCAATACTGTAGTTGCATTGCTGTAACTTTTGCTGTCATGTGTGTGCTTTCTTTTGCCTCTCCTAAATCAGAGAAGCTAGAGAAAGAAATGACCTAGGAGGTTTTTTTTGTTTTTTGTTTTTTGAGTCTGAGTCTCACTCTGTTGCCCAGGATGGAGTGCAGTGACATGCTCATGGCCACTGCAACCTTGACCTGCTGGGCTCAGGTGATCCTTCTGTCTCAGCCTTCCAGGTTGCTGGAACTACAGACACACGCCACTACGCTTTGCTAATTTTTGATTTATTATAGAGATGACGTCTTACCAAGTTGCCCATGCTGGTCTTGAACCCCCGGACTCAGACAGTCCTCTCATCTTGGCCTCCCAGAGTGCTGGGATTACAGGCTTGAGCCACCGCACCTGGCTTTGACCTAGGAGGTTTTAATATGTCTTCTGGTCTTGTCTGTTCTGAAATCTCAGGCAGTGCATGTCAGAAGCTTTTAAATGATGTTGCCACTGCAGTTAGGGAATTGGAATTTAAAACATTTAATGTGAATGCCTTTAATTATTTTCCTTCTAGATGTTTCGTGTTATAGTCCTTAGACCCCGCCACATATATTCTCTTTTTTTTTTTTTTAGTTGAAGTCTCACTCTGTTGCCCAGGCTGGAGTGCAGTGGCACGCTCACAGCCACTTGACCTGCTAGACTCAAGTGATTCTTCCATCTCAGCCTTTCAAGTAGCTGAAACAGCAGGCACATGCCACCACACCTGGCTTACTTATTTATTTATTGTAGAGTTGAGGTCGCATCAAGTTGCCCAGGTTGGTCTCGAACCCATGGGCTCAGGCAGTCCTCTCACCTCAGCCTTCTAAAGTGCTGGGATTATAGGCATGAGCCACCATGCCTATAATGCTCGGCCCTGCCACATAAATTCTGATCCTCTGAGGTATTTGTAGTTGTGGAATATTTCTAACTAATATTTGCTTTTTAGTCATTGTTTGATCAATTTTGATGCTTTCCTGGAAATCAGTCTCTGAGTACCTTTGAAATGCCTACTTCGGTTTTCTGTTACAAAAATGAAAACTCCTTATTAACCTTATTCTCTACCAAGCCACTTAATAAGGAGAACAAACAGATTTAGCATTTTGTACCAAACTTTTACAGAAATGAAACATAAACATGAGTTTTAAGCTTCCTCCCTTTTCCTCCCTTTTTGTTTCTCATGATATTTTTGGTTTCTGGCAGAGAAAATTATAGTTTATACTATAATTTGTTCCAGTTTACCTTTGACCCCTCCTGTATTCGTATTTCTCTAGCACATATTTAATGCCTGCTATGCATGGTTACTTTTACTGGGAGGATTATTTGAGACCGGTAGTTTAAGACCAGCCTGGGCAACATAGCAAGATCTAGTCTCTACAAAAATAAGCCAAAAAGGCCGTGCTCAGTGACTTAGCCTGTAATCCCAGCACTTTGGGAGGCCGAGGTGAGAAGATTGCCTGAGCCCACGGGTTCGAGACCCACCCGGGCAACTTGGCGAGACCTGTCTCTACAATAAATAAAAAAAACTAGCC